ACCCATGGCATTAAAAATATAATAAAATGTAATATACAAAATAAAAACACTGACACTATTAGTGAAAAAAGTCTTTACATGTGGACACATGAAAAAAATCTTTACATGCTTTCAAGGAAGTGGACCACATGTATTTGTGGTCCAGTTCCTTGAAAGCATCTTATTTCATAAATGATGTAGTTTCTAGAAAGCACGTTAAAAGCTTGAGCTTTACTGGCAACTCTACATATAGGAGGAACAGAATATTTGTCATTGACAGGATTTATTTCATTATCATCTTCATTGCTTGCTTCTTGTGTTTAGTTCTTTACTTTAAATTAGTATTCATAGACAACTAAATCATTCTCAATGTTAAAAAAATCTTCAGATGGTACTTTTCATCATTCATTACTTTAATGAGACTGGTCCAGTCTTTTTTGACATGGTTGATGGATTTCGGTGGAAATTCTGATTTATTCAGAGCATCAACAAATTGTTGACCAAAACATACTTTTGTAAAACAATTTTCAATGGTACTTTATTGATGTGGAACTTCATTTCAGGCTTTGTTAGTTGTTTGCATTACATCTAGGCAAGTTCACGCTAAACACTCATGGTCCATCTTTGATAACATGTAACATCTTTTGTATGATAAGTTTTCTATATCACAATTTAAAGTTTTGAATGATTCCTGCAATCCTGATCTAAATGTTACAATCTAGAAGTTGTATTTAATGATAAAGATTGAACTGTATAGCTTTCAGAGTGAGAATCATCTGTACTTGTTGATAAAAAAAAAATAATAATTTTTTTTGGCAATTATGTGAGTGTGTAAGTTTGATATTTTCCATGCTTACTGTTTGAAAGGGTTTTTCTCTTTCTTATTTGCTGCGTATTGGATAAGTTGTAAAGTACTATATTATTTTTCCGACTTTCCAACGATTATCGACACTATTGTGTGCCGGAAATAGCCGTTCCCTAACGGGTACTTTACGCGGATTCGCGTTAGTGTGCCAGGCCTGGACTTTAAGCGTGCACCGAATTAAATAATGACAAAGTTTGTCAATAACAAAATCAAATATTTAATTAAACTTCTAT